CCAGCAGGCTTTGGCTCTTCTCCAGGGAATGCAAAAAGGGAGGCGGTTTCCCGCGAGGTCTGAAGCAGCTTTTCCTCGCCAAAGGCAGAAGAGCCACAGAGGCTTCCCGATGGGGCAGGGGGTGCACTGTGCAGTTTTCCCGAAGCCTTGAGAGAGCCGTCCTCGCCGTGGTCTCCTCCACATGCGCCCTGCCCAAAGGGGCTGACAACACTGCCCTGCAAGACCCCAATGGCTGTGGGGGGAAGGAGAAGTGACCCTCGGGGTGCAGGAGCCAGCCGGGATGTATGTGGGGGCGCCTTGGCAGCTGCTGCAGGAACATACCAGAAGGTAGCCTCGCCTACTGTACAAAAAAACCTGGAGCCGGCCCTGATCATGTTTCCCCAAAAATGCAGTAATGAAAACAGAAAAACACAAACTGCATTCACAGAAATCAAAGAAATACTGACTTTACTGACCAATTTTTTAAAAAAACTGACAAATTACTGACCAAGATGAAAAAACTGACTTTTACTGATTTTACTGACCATTTTCCACCCCTGCTGGAGATCAATCCACGAACATGATCTGCTTTCTCAGACACAAAATAAAGTATCCGAGTTCTTGCTGCTCTGACCTGGGCATGGGCTGACTCTTTGCAAGGAACAGGGTAATGATGGAAGTGCCAAAACCTGTCACTCTAAAGGAAATTGAGTATGATAGTTATTACACAGCATCTTGGGATCTGGGAGACCCAGGTTCAAATCCCTACTCTGGCATGGAAGCTTGCTGGGTGACCTGGGCCAGTCATATGCTCTCAGCCTAACCTACCTTCACAGGTTTGTTGTGAGGATTAAATGGAGGATAAGAAAAGGATGTAAGCCACTCTGAGGAGAAAAGTAGGGTATGAAGTTAATAAAATTCAAATGCACTGCCTCCAAGGTTATGAAAGCAGTAGAGAGGACCAAGAGAAGATCTGTGGTTAGAATGGATGCAGCAGTCATTGCTGATCTTCCACAAGACATTCCATTTGCTGATTTGGATAATGGAGGTTAACTATATGTACTATCCTAGTCAACCATCCCCCCCCCCAACTTTCAATATAAGTATTTTTTCCCCTTTGCAATGTCAGTGCACATCAAAAAGCCACAGTGATATACTGGTTACAATGTTGGACTACAATCTGGGAACCCAGGTTCAAATCCCCAATCTGCTATGAAACGTACCAGATGACTGAGGACAGTCACTCCCTTTCAGCCTAACCTACCTTTGACAAAGGGAGCTTCCACTTTTGAAAGCTTACCCTGTAACTCTTATTGGTCTCTCAGGTGCTACTGGGCTCAAATCTAGCTGTTCTACTGCAGACCAACACAGCTATCCTCTGAAACTATGTCCCAAGGTTGCTGGGAAGATAAAATGGAAAGCCATGTATGTTACCCTAAGTGTCTCTCGTACCAGATAGGTAACCAAAGAGGAAAAAGCAAGACCTTACTCCTAAGGAACTTGCTGCCTGAAAGTTCAATAATGAGCTATTGAGGATGGGAAAGGATGAGTGTAACAGGAGACAAATAAACACTGCATGCTTAAGATGCATTTTGGAAGACAGGTTCAGGCAAAGAAAGAATAAAAAGGGAGGATCTGATGGGAGAAAGCCAAAGCCCAGCATAGGAACTTTGAGCAGAAATTCTGGTAGAAGACAAGGACCTTGAACTGAGTTATTTTAAAGAGGAGGACTCTCTGGAGTGGCTGAAGGTGAAAGAATCAGGACAGCCGAGGTCATGGAAAAGGGCATGACAGGAAACAGAGGAAAAGTTGCATGAATCTTCCCTTGGGACACCCAGCACAAGCCATCATGGACTGAAAGGGAGCAGCAGCAACACAGCTCTTCTGCCAAGACAGCTCTTACACAGGCCACGTCATCAGCACGAGGCTGTCATCCGTTGATCACAGTTCCCAGAATAGACCTTGAGCACCACAATAAGACTACCGGTACTCACACTGCAAAGCTGTGTTTTTTCACAGGCTGATAGCTACACACAGGTTTGCTGCTACAGCTTGCCAGAAAAAATGCCAGCACCCTGTGGACCTTCAAGCCTCAGATGAAGGGGGGGAAATCCCACTTTCAGCAACTGCTGTCTAAAATATTACCACTGGCATAAATTCAGTGGAGTTTGATCATGCCTGGCCATCCAGGAAAGTACTGAGTGCTCCCTGCTCCTTTTTACAAGCTATCTGGGGCTAAGAAAATACAGCTGACTGTCAGTGTTTTCTCTAAGCTGAGTTAGTGTGAGCTAGCTCATAGTTTTTTAGCCTCTGGCTCACACATTTTTGTCTTAGTTCAGGAAGGATGGCTCCAGAGCAAACTAATTTATGCAGTAGTCAAATCACTCACTCACAAAGTAGAATTCTTATTCACAAGACTCCACAACTTAGAGGGAGTATTGCTGCTGTAAGGCTGCCTCTGCAAATGAATCACCCTGACACCAGCCCAGAAGGCTAGAAGCTGCTATTACAGCTGTAACTGTGCTTGTGAGCTTGTTGTGTCTTGGCACCTGCCAACGATTTACACACTGTCTGGACCAACCCTAGTTCCTGAAGCAGTCAACACACAAAACTCCTGTTGATGCTGCTGGTATAAGAAGAGAATTCAGTCTTGTCTTTCCTGCATATTATCTCAAGCAATGCAGGCTATTCAGGAAGAGCTATTTTTAAAAGCAACCACATGAACCTGTGAAAATGCAACAGCTGGCTTGAACTCTGATGCCAGTCCCACCCATTGCTTTCTCCGGCCTTTTAATCTCTTTATTGCACATGCTTGTTTACCAACACTACCAGTTTAAACAGGCTATATCCAATTTTGCTAGCCTGTTCCACCATCTATCAGGGCAGAAGGAGAAAGGCAGTTGTCTCACACACAATCCTCTACCAGTAAAGTCAACTTGTATGTATGAAAAGGCTTTAAAGCTATGATGAATATCTTTTGTTTTTCAAAGCTCATAGAATTTTCCTCAAAACTAAGGTTTGGAGACTGTCCCACTGTTCTGCTCCTCTTTTCAGGAATAATTGAGTGGTTAGCTTCAATCCAAGTTCTGAACGGCAAAACAGGGAGCCTTTTTTTGCAGAAAAGCTGCCCGGGGGGGGGGGGGGGGATTCAGCCCATCAAGCTGTTACAATTGATCAGTTTCCAGAAAGCATACTGAACACATCCCCTCCTATGAACCATTTACATGTCCAATTCAGTGGTTAACTGGCCTTCCAGACACCCAAGAATTAAGATGGGTAAGAAAGGAAAGCCAGTGGTTGATGAGAGGCCCATAGTGGCCTCTCCAGAGTCCACTGGAGCCACGTCCCAGAAAATTCAAATTCAGCCATTGCTCCCTTTACTAATAGTAGGTAAAGTAATTCTGGACCAATGGCTGTCCAAGGACACGAGAAACTGCTTAAAACACATAATTATAATGTATTTTAATTCAAGTAATTGGTTCCACTGAAAGAGATAGCAAGAATTATCAACTCCACCCTTCAAAATGAGAGTATTAAGAAGAGAGAAAAGAGAAGAGATTGGATTTATACCACACCCTTCACTACCCAAAGGTGTCTCAGAGTGGCTTACAAACTCCTTTCCCTCCCCACAACAGACACCCTGTGAGGTAGGTGGGGCTGAGAGAGCTCTTGACAGAAACTGCTCTTTTTCAAGAACAGCTCTTATCAGAACTACGGCTTGCCCAAGGTCATCCAGCCAGGTGCAAGTGGAGGAGTGGGGAATCAAACCGGTTCTCCCATATTAGAGTCCGCACACTTAACCACTACACCAAACATCACCAAGCAGCCTGTTCCAGGACTATTCAAAGAACTTCTTCCTCTAAAGGTCAAATCAGGGGAAACCAGCACATATCATTGAACATCTGGACTAATGCAAGACATTTTGGTGCCTGAGGCAAAAACGCCAACTGTCACTGCAGCACATCCCCACTCAAGTTACTGTTCTAGCTAGGACACAGCTCAGCTAAACTGCACTCACCTGTGTGAACATCCTAGTGGCAACCTGTACATGCCCTTCCCACTTACCACTGACCTGTCCCTCAACAAAAATATCCCCCACATCACTCTGTGAAAGCAGGCACTGGCATTTGTGGTGGCCCTGCCTTTTCTTTCCAGCCAGGATAAGCAGCTGGTATTCCCCAGCAGCTGTGCATGCACGCACACTTTCATGAGAATATACTACCTTACCTGGCTTTAAAGAGCTACTTGCCAGGGTGAGCAGAGGGGATGGTGGTTGGGTAAGTCTCATCTAATTATCTCACAACACATGCAAAATCCCATCTTTTTAAAAAATGCATCTTTGGTCCCTCGTGGCCCTTTAGGGGTTCAGCTACAACTTGCATTCCACATTCTCTTAACTAGGGGTATGCAAATTAATCAGTTTTTCCCAGTTTACATGTATTGGACCTGAAAAATAACGGTATTCCCGAGTACCAATATCAGTTTTGTATAGGGATTTGGGTAAATGTTTGGGACACCCAAATTTATTCAGCTCTATTATACCCTATGGGGACCATCCAATAAGGTACTTTTTAAGGTACTTATTCGGCTCAGTATATACCCAGCGAACGCCCCTAACTTCCAAATTCTGCTGGCTACAAGCTCTTCAATAACCCAGAATCAATTTATGGAGATAGATCAGGATGGGTAGCCATGTTAGTCTGTCTGTAGCAGTAGAAAAGAAGAGTCCAGGAGCACCTTAAAGACTACAAAGTTTGTGGTATCTTCAGATATCTTAAGTGAGCAGTGAGTTCATACCCTACCACAAACTTTGTTGGTCTTTAAGGTGCTACTGGACTCTTACACTTTTCTACGGCTAGAATCACCTAGAATCAGAGTCAATCCTGCACAGGTGCTTCATCAGCAGCAGCTTCAGATCAGCCCCCCAAGGTCCCATGAAGCAAGAACACCAACCAGAGCAGAAAAACACATTCTGTCCTTCATGGTATTATTTTCCACCCAGAGCCTGAAAAGGTACTCACCAGAACTTGGATTCCTTCTTTTTCAACAGGTGCTTTATCATAGGTAGCATCACAGACCCGCACCAAGGTTGTCACTCCATATTTCTTCAATTCCTTTGAGAACACATAAAAAATTAAAATTATATATATCCCACCTTCCTACTCAGAAATGGTCCGCACAGCACAGCTCACAAGATAAAGCAAGCATAACATTAAACAGAAAAAGAGCATACCCCCCATAATAAAATATGAACAAGAACAATGATTAAATCAGCAATTAACACTAAAAACATGCCAAGCAACTTCTTAAAAGAATAACACTACATCTAGGAGAACGTGCCACGCATATGCCTCTTTGAAGGTTTACGCAAGTGAGAATGCCAGTAGGGTTCTGTCCTCAAACCTTTGGAAGACAGAGGCATTCAGTGCAGGACCTCCAAACATGGTATCAGAGAATGGCATGGCTACACACACCAGGTGGGCCCTCTTCACTGCCATGGAAAGAAAACCTTCCTATTTTGCCTAGGGTGCCACAACGCTTAAGGTTGCTCTTGAAAAATCCACCAGGGGGGGGGGGGGGGGGGATGAGAGCAAAACAACCAGAACAGCAAGAGATGGATAAATTCAGCCTCCCTCCATCCCTAGTTTGTACACAGAATACAGGTTTTAGGGCAAAACCACCAGAAGTGTTCCTGTGCAGGCAACAACTGAAAATGGTATGAATGGTGCACAAGCCACATCAGAAAAGACAGCAGCAAGGCAGATGCCAATCACCATTTCAACTTCATTAACTTTGCTACCAGCCTTGATGCCATGTAGTTACCTTATTCTAAAACACTCTTACCCTGAAACTGCAACTTTTGAGTATAAGGAAATATCTGAATCAAATCAAAGCTGAACTTTTATCTACTTCTGATCTGTTAACACATTTGTGGTTGTACTTTCAAACCTCTCCAGGTACACGAGGATCTGAACCTTCTCTTTGACAAGACTGAATATGGGATTCTGCGTGTCATGGGAGCTGTAGAAATCCTCACCCTGACCTTATGTGCCATTTTTAATATGTCTTCCACATGCCAAGGCCTGTACAGCACACTGAAGACATACAGGGGGCAGGGCAGGGCAGGGAATAAGGGATGACTGACTAGGGAAAGGTCAACCAAACAATCAGAACAGTTTCGGTTTGGGTGAGAACCCTCACAGAGGTCCCAAAGAAAGGGTAATGCTCAAGCTACAAGGTACACTGAAAGGCTCATGTTGTCATCACTGACAAAGGGAGTTTTGACTCTCAAAAGTTCACACCCTAGAAATCTAGTTGGTCTTTAAAGTGCTACTGGACTTGAATCTTACTCTTCTGTTCCAGACCAGCACAGCTACCCTGTTTAAGATGTCTTCATTGTGTCTGTGAGTACATGGCAAGAAAACCTAATTCAATAGGTTTACCTGTACAGTACACATGTACCCTAAGACAAGGACAAAGTATGCTGGCATTATCTCTCTTTCTGGGTATGCCTGCTGAAATGGTCTGAAAAAACTTGGGGGGGGGGAGAGACAGAGTGGCACAAAATTAGTTTTAAGAAGATCTCAAAATTACACTGATTTTACTAGTGTATTGCAGCCCTGTTTCTCAATATTGATTCCAAAGCTATGTTCCTGGGGAATGAAATGGTCTGCTGAGATCCTTCAGTAGCATAAAGGAGATCACATTAAGAATTCGTTTACATGCATCCTCCCCCCCCCGCCCCCCAGTTAAGGACAAATATTGAGTATCCCAAAGACGGAACAAGGTTCAGGCAGGCAATGCAGAACAGCAGACCTGGCACCTCCTCCCCCTGGGGCCTCCTTTAAAAAGGAAGCACATGATTGCCTGGCAGAAACAGCCCTGAGACATTTCTGATCTAAAGGACAGCCTTGTTCTCTAGCTTCCTAGTAATGTACTATAAGTAGTTTACTACTGGGGTAAGCAAACATTGGTTGCAGAACTTGGAAAGTTTTCTGTATTTTTCTCCTCCAGTAGGATTATAAGATTACAGTAAATCAAGAGATCTTGAAATTAAAGATACAGTCTGCCCACCCAAAGGCTGTTCCACACATTTAGGACGTGTCCAATCCAAATTAATGATTCATTTCTGGAAGTGGCGGGTAGACAGAGAATCCCTCAATGACCAGAAGTTTCACCGATAAACAGCTGCACTATCTGGAGCAGAGGACAAGTCATAAGATCTATGAAAGAAGAGGGGCTTTTGGTTCAAGCAAGGCTTTTGGCAGTGAACCCACACAGAGACTGAACATCTAGCTCCATTAATTTCAGTGTTGAAAAGTAATGAATTGTTTTATCATGGAACAGTTAAGTAACTAACCTAGTTTTTCTGAATACCAGCAGTGCCACTTAAGAGAAGCTAAAATTCTTGCCCTGAATGATACACATGATCCGCAACCACATTTTTAAAGGTCTGAAATGTATGATTCCAGAAACAGTTACTCTTCTTTAGGCCTTGTGCCAGGGATGGAGACCCATTATCAGAGCTACTATTGTTACTTAAGAGGTTACAGTTATATTTAATATTAACAACGGTATCTTATATTACTGTATACATGTGTTTGGTGGGGTGGGTGGCACACAGGGTGTGATGACCCCTTAACTGGGGAGGTCTGGTTTTACTTTAAAAGTGTTCTTTATGTTTTATTTTACTGTATATATCTGGCTGCCACCAGGAAATTTTAAAAGGATTTCCAAACCTTTATACTTTCTCTATTTCTGGGTAGGTAGGTCGAGGGTTTTAGGCTTTCATGAGGGTCTATGTGTTTCATGAGACTTTATTTCTTTCAGAGCCGGCAGACTTGAATAAAATTAGATTTATTTAAATAAAGCATAAATACGAGGGTAGAACAATGTAAACAGTAATGTGAATGATTTGAACAATTGCTTGGTGTCTCTCACAAGCTTCTCCCTTACTGACAGGGATGTTTCAAGTAACTTTGTAACCTTTTACTCAAGGTCTTATAAGTTCACTACAGTCTGTCACTCAGACTTTTTTATAACTTTTCTTCTTCTCTGAACAACATCAACAGACAGCTTAACTGTTTTCACACAGAATGGCTTCTCACTTCTTTCATACACAGAGCTTAACTGAACTCCTGCTTCTCTCACAGAACTCAGAACCAAAACTGCTTAACTGAACTTCAACTGTCTTCATCAACTGTCAAATCTCTGTCTGTCACTCCTGATAGACATACATATCCTCCACACAGCATCACTTCCAACCCCCTCCCCCTCTTTGTCACTCACCAATCACACCACTTGCCTGTTTCAATCACTCTAGACTATCATACCACCATGCAACCAAACTTTTAAAGACACACACACACAGTTAAACATGAAATCATTACACAGGGTATACAGAAGGTTGATAGCAACTGCGAATATGGCTCTCCTTGAGCGGTAGAGTACCACTGCCCTAAGGCACTAACATTTTCAGAAGCCTTTAGTCTGGTAGAAAGCCCACCACCACCCCAAGCAAGAGAGATAATTCTCAAAAGTGCTTGGTTGAAGAGATGGGGGTGGAGAAAAAGAATAACAGGTAGGCCTAGAAAATGCATGGGGATTCTATTTAAAACACTTGCAAGATTTAGATCAGGATCCTCAGGCATGTCGTAGGACACCCTCTGTTCACCAGCCAGGTCTGCTGGTCCTGTTCACAGCACCACAAAATGACAACGTGCACTACAACACAGCCATGCACGCAAATTGGGAAAGATTGTACAGCACTGCTAAACTGCCATTCGTTCTGTTTTATCTTTTCTTTGCCCTCAAGCAATATCCAGGGCTCCCAACAACACAATCTGACAATAATTGAGCTAGGGAAAGCTAAAGCTTTAGGGTGTTCCAGACACTACTGTCCAAGGGCCAAAGAACATGCTACTTATAGAGATCTTCTTACCTCTGTGAATTTGTTGAGGGTTGTGTTGGTTGGGTTGTGGGTAATCAGGAAGCGCATACTCTCATAAGTAATCTCCACTGGAGCAGGACGGTTCATAGTGGCAAGAAAGAAAGTGTGCTGGGGCAAAAAAAAGTTCAAACCTTGCAACGTTTCACAGCAGAAGACATTTAAAAAAATCACTAAAGTGTCCAGAATTGATCAGAGCTTTCCTTGTTTACTTTGTTGTTCAAGAGAATTCTTCACTTCAAGAAAAGCAGGTCTGCTTGAGCATCAGCTGGAACTCACTTCACCCTCAAACACCGCAGGTGGTGTTCCTTCAGACTCTGCAGTCTCTTACTACATGCAAAAAAAACAGGCAGCCTTTACTACATTTAGGCACTAATGAGGCACAAAGAAAATGTTAGGGCAGGTCTTTTTTCCACTTGGGCTCGGCCAGGTTTCACTTCTCTAGCGACACTAAGAGGAAGAGGTTTCCAATGTGCAGAAGATATCCCCATATATTTGAGGCTTATATGTCTCAGTGTCTGGAATCTTCAAGGCAAAGTTGAATTATGGCACGTGGGACCTGACCCCCAGTTCACTTGTCAGCCAGGGTGCTGTGCTGGGCCCGGCAGAAATCTGCCCTGATGCTCAGAATCGCCATAAATGTGTGGCGTGGATTCCAAAGGAAAACCTAAGAAGGGAAAAAATAATCCATGTTTTAGAGGGGACATATGCAAAGACTGAGAAAGAATGCATGCAGAGAAGCATCAAAATATCTACATAGCATTACAGTTTCAAGAGCAAACCTGCTTCTGAAATGGTTTTAGATACA